GCCACCGGTATGCGCGATCCTTTCTGTCTCCGCCTCCGTCAGGAAGTCCTTCCCCTGATGTTCAGCGTTGGCCTGCTCCTGGATGGCGAGGGTCGACGGTGAAGCTCACGGTGGCCCTGGTGAGAACTGGCTGGTTCTGGAGATCGTCCAGCAGAGGTGCTCGTGCGATAGCAAGATCCGTGAAGTAGCAGGTAGATATTGTGACGCGGTGAACTGTTCTGTGTAAATGCTCTGGACTGTTCATCGAGATTCCCGGCCGCCATGCTCCCAGCCAAAGTGGGCCTAGCGTCAACAGGATGTGATGGTGGTGGACGGTCGTCATCGTCGGCTCCCAAATGGTCTCAAACCTTCTAAAGCAGCTCAAGTCAGCAACTGATCTTTATCCTTTACTGAGCAGAAAATACGTACTAAAGGCTTGGGGAACGTGTATCTTGGACGGGTCGTCAAGCTGACGCGCAAGCAGAACGAGGATACACGAGATCGGATGTCAGCAGACACAGAACCTAGAGTGGATCGGTCGCCTGATCCCAAGAAGCGTTGCCGTGGGCGGTCGAGACGCTCCACGTGTGTATCATGGAGGCCCTCGTGGAGTGTTGTAGCTTGACCTTATGTGGTGTCCGGCGAGGTAGATATTCAGTGATGTGGCAATGGAAGGAGGAGGGAGTAAATCGCTTTGTTGAACTTTGTATCGCTGCTGTCTGCATATGTGTTAGTCTGAGCGTTGCTCTACATCAAGTGCATGTAGAATGCATCGTGACGTACAGTGTAATCTCGATTCCTCGCTCATTGTAACCGCCGAGGTCGTGGAAGGGGAGTCGAGGTCGTGGAAGAGGAGTCGAGGTCGTGGAAGAACAATCGGTATCGCCACGATGGTCGTGCTTGTTGGTGTGAGTATCCTGGACACCGAAATGCTGGATACGAGAAGCCTGGCACGCTTTGTTGACCTTGGGAATGTTGATTCGACACAGGTCGCCGACCTGGAGGGGAGGTTGCGAGAAAAGAGCTTCGTTGTATCGTCTTCCCTTGGATGCCTGATGGGAACGTACGCATCTGCATTGGTAGAATTGGTGTTCTCTGTAGTGACACGTGCGGTCCGGCTGTCGGCAATGCCGGTTCAAGGTGATGAAGTGGCCACAGGGTTTGTTGCCCAGACATGGACATAATGACCATCGACAGATCATCATCGCATCTGGGTGCCCATCAGGCCCCGTAGAGAAGCTGGCAAACGTGTTGTTTCTTGCACTGATGCCATGGCGCTTCCATCAGAGGCGTAGTGGGAAGGTAGGTGGTTGCCTGTTTACCTGGATTTAATAACCGGCAGATGGACCGGTGATCCGCGGTAGAGACCTGCGCCCCGAATGTATGGACCGAGTCCTCGTCCGGAAGGAAGGTGGTTCTCTTGAGGTTTCGTTTGACTGTTGACGGGTTGATTTCAACACTAAAGTGTGAAGAATACAGCGCCGGTCAAGAAATTTGTCATGGCAGGAACTCGGCCGAGGTGATAATTCTCGGCAGGTGCGGGTCCCGGGTCATCTCCGGGTGTGACTCCGGTAGGGATGCCGGCCCGGCATTGTGATTGCGGATCTTCACTTTGATGAAACTTGGAGTTCACATGTCAATCCTCGGATCTGGAGTAGAAAGGCAGACTTTTGCACTCGCACAGTCTCCTAGCATTTAGTAATCAGTAAACAACAGCAGAGGTCAGAACAGTCTAATCAGCCAAGCTGCCGGGTGGCCACATTTCCTGGAAGTACGACAGAAGCACCAATGAGATGAGCAAAATTATCGTTGCAATTTAACGTATGGTGGTCCTAGTTCTCCTCGTACTGGACCTTAGAATGGGTATGTGTCCACAAGAGAGTAGGGTAAACATGTCGAATGGGCAAGCATCGTTGTCGGTAGTGTCACTGGGTAAGAAGCTCAGACGTATTATCAGCCAAGGTTGTTAATCACACATTGGCGGCATCAGCCCAAAGAAAACAATGTGTATTGTCCATTGCTGTGCTCGCCCAAAGGCAATCTTTTTCCATGTTCCAATGGATGGCTAGTGTCGGCATGCAGACCAATGTGCAGCTATTCATCATGCCGTTGCTTGGGCCTAGACCGTGGAAGAACCGAGCAAAGAGAGCTTCGGTATCATGACTGACTCAGGTAGGGTCGGGGTGCAGCTACATGCTCAAATCATCTGGTGTCGACGTAAGGGAGCCAAAACAGATTTCCGCTGCATCGGGGAGGGAGTGTCGCTGCTTGTCCGGACCAAACGGTGGCGCCTTCTCGGACTTGGTCAACGGGCCAGTAGCACTGCGAGATGCAAGTCGATGCGAACAGGTCAAATGTTGGAGGGTGAAGGAGCGTCGTGTATCAGAGCTGACTGCTCGCATCCCCGTGTGTGTCTTCCCTCCGGATGCACGTAATACCATTGTGGTATGGACATCTCCACCACAGGGACGCGACGCAGTGGGCCGAGAAGAGCATTCTTGAGGGTTGTAATGGTCCGGAAAGGGTCGCTTCTCCCCTCCGCCGTCGGATCCGTACCATCACATCCATGTTCCACCAACGCTGCGGTTCTGTGGAAGAGGTCATTAGTACCCCCTGTCTCGTGCTAGTGATGTAGTTGCCGGCCAAAGAAGCAGTGGCGCGAGGATTTGCATACCTAGGGAGAGGGTCATGCACCCCATTGTGTGTGGTGGCCCTTCCTAGAAAAGCCGTCATGGAGATGCTTCGATCTTCCTGTGCTGTCCGTGCAGATCTTGTTCGATGCTCATTGTGCTGCTCATAGGCGTACCGCCTGGTTGCTTGTTTTGCAAATAAATCCCGACTGGACGTGGTAGTCGATGAATGACGCTTCCAACAGCCAGGTGAGTGAAGGTGAGTGAATCCGTAAGCCTGCACTACATGTTGCAGAAGAGAAGGGTTGGCTTGGTTGTTCAAAGCGGCGGCTACGGCATGAGTAAAGAACGTTATGGACGGGTGGTATCGTGTGCGGTGGTACTGACGCCGGGAGTCAAGATGGGCAAGAGACGCTGGGTCGACTGCTCGAGTCGCGGCTAAAAGCCTGTCACCGAGGAGTGCCTTGGGGGACATTAGCACCGATTCTAGAGGCACTCTCGGTGATCTAAGTACCTTGTGCGTCGCTGGATATATGGTGATGCTCTGTTTATATTCCTCGGTTGTCCGACAGAGGACGTTGACTGCGCTGCGACCGCCATGACGATGTCGTTGCGAAGACACGATCTTCAAAGCGCAATTTGCATTCCTCCAGACCCGATAACGAGCTAGGGAGGAAGAAAGAATCCAGCGTCAGTTAATTGAGCGTAGTTCAAGAGGAACGCTGTGGTCAATCAACATGTGAGGAACCCGTGCCGACTGGAATGCAGGAAGAGCAATCAGCAGTGTTAGGTCAGCAGCTTGGAAATTCTTCCATGTCTGCATCAGTTGGTTCTGGTGGGGCACTAGGCTGAGTGACTGATCTCAAAAAAGTCGTTGCAACCTGCTCTTGTCTCTTTTTTGCCACGAATCTGGGGTCACGGTATATCGCTGCAAAAGGTTCTTCGCTAAGGTATTGGTCACTGACCTTTGCGTCCTGTCATTTCATTCCACGGCACTTGCTAAAAGTCGAGAAGGATTCGTGGGCACCGCGATCTCTCTGATCTTGCGCAAGGCCCAAGCCCGCCATTCATGGACCTTCTCCTTTCACAGCTCCTGCAACTTGTTTATTCTGAGATCTTCGCTTCGGAAAGTGTCTTCGACGAGCCCCAGCACCTCCACAGCTCCAGTCTCTCCAGCGCTATTTCTTCAACGCCCTGACACCGTCCAGCGGATCTTCAGTAGTGTCACCGAACGCGTTTCCTTGCCCACCCAACTTGGACGCCCAGGATCGACTGCGCCTCGTCGTGTGTCTCTCAGAGAATTGGCCGTCACTAAGGACAATAGTGGATATGTGGTGACGGTGTGCGGATATAAGAGCAGCAGATCAGTGGCCGATACTTCTAGACACGGTCCCCTCGTGGGTATCTGGAGCGTGTCTGGCCCTGCACCGGCAAGTACGGAATGCTACCAATTAGGTGTTTAGGCACCGACTTGCGGCAGACCCGGTTGTGGCTGACATGTCAAGTCACCTCGAACCATGCTATTGCCATGACGACAGCTAACTCAATAACATTCAGATTAGGACTGCGCGCTCGGCTTCGGCACTCTGATCTCTATCCCTCAGCTGTCTTCCTCCTGCACTCCCCGTTGGCTCCCCTTACATCCTCATTCGCACATCTGGGTGCCGAATCATCTCTCGTCTTTTGGAAGGAGGCCTTTGGAATATTAGGATGCCGGTCGACTGGTACGCTTGTCGCGCTATCAATGGGCGTTCTTGGGCTTCAACCGACCGGATTGAGCAAGAAGCACCAAGGGCGATCTTCGTTGAACCAGGCCGGAACAACTTCGAGGACGGCCCCAATCAAGGGTCTCGGCGCTGTTCCGAGTTAGCTTGCCTTCGGGATTGTTCTGCCTCGAAGGCTTAGAAGGAAACATGCCAGGTACCAGGACACCCCATTCCCTACTTGACTATCTTCATCTATATACAGTTACTATATGCACATCCCTGTTGTCTCACACGCTCAGTGCTCGGGTCAAAAGCGAGTAACGTCTACCATGTCGGGAAGAGACCCAAGCCTAGTTCAGACACATCGCAACCCGGCATTTGCGGTGCAACTCTGACATTCTCTGTGTCAGACAGTCAGGTCCAACTGTCCCTGCTAATCTTGACCAACAACGAAGGCTCTGCGGTAATGTCACCGTTGCTCTGGCTGGCACTCGAACGCTTTGGCCAGGATCGCAGAATTGAGTAGTCGTCAGTGCTCAAAGTGTCACCTTGACATGATGCACCAACCGCGTGAGAGGTTTTGCACAGTTCCGCATATAAATACATCCGTGGCAAACTTTGAACAATAAGTCAGATATACAGTTCACGTTGTTGAGTATCAATACACGCAAGGCTAACACAGAAAGCCCCCGTGGCCTAAAGGCTAAGGCGCAAGATTTCTAATCTTGGGATTGCGGGTTCGAGTCCCGCCGGGGGTTGAACGCTTTTTCTTTTCTTTTGCACTTCTCTTTTCTCGCTTTTACTTACCGTCTCTTGTGTTCCTGACGACTAGCTCGTCATTAAAGCCTTTGCGATAGTGTTTCTGAGGTCTGTACAAATTGACAACTTGTTATTTTATTCAAGGATAACAACCAACATGTGCTCACAGTGCTTGAAAGCCTTGTGCAGTCCCGAAGCCGAGATGAGGATGGCACAGAGGCATCACAGAGCGCCGAAGGGCGGTATGCCTTCCTTACCAGAATCCCATCCGTCTCTAATACCTTGGCCCCAGAATATGACCCGAGGCCTTAACGTTGCAGCCGTTCCTGAACATCTCCATAGACATTGTTACCTCAGACTTTCCTCAGATCATGACTAGGCATACACATGAGTAAGATCGCACAAATACAAACGAAAAGCTCAAGGTGAACAACCACCATAACTCCCCGAGAACCTCATTCTCACAACCATGACGACCACTAGCGTTATCAGAAACAAACGATTTAAATCCATGGTCTGCACTATCTGGCACAGCAACTTCCCCTATTCTGTCGAGACGAAGTCTCCTGTGTCCCGAGCGGCAAATCAGATATCAAAAAGGCATCTGGACCATCACCTGCTCCGTGCAAAGTCGTCAAGGTAGTGTTGATTCCTGTAACATCCACTCGAGATTTGCAAACACAGTGCAATATCCCAAACACCCGCTGGGAACCTTTGCCAGTATCTCCATCAGAACCCTGATCATTCTTTCCTTCCAAGTCGATTCACTTGACCGACGGTATCTTCAAGGCTTTCGGTCAGCGAGGCAAAGGACAAAGCTCTCCAGAACACACTTACTACTTAAATCTGCCGCTGTCTCGAGATACCTCTCTGAGGCTTGCTGTTTGGCTGATGTCTGTTGTTTGCCAATCTACGCTCAGCACGATAGCAGTCAATGCAGTGACAGCCATCCCAATGTGCCCTCCGGGGTTGATCGTATTCAGGACGCTGGCGCTGGCGCCCAAGCTCCTCCATCATGCCCTGTGTGACCAGCCTATGAAGAGAAGCTTCATCGGCAGCGGCTTGATCCTCGGGAGACAAGGGATTGGGATGGCTGCTTTGGGTTGTTGATGGGTTCTCATCTCGAGTTCTACCACGCGCCGCGGCGAACCAGAGGAAGGCGGCCATTGACAGGACAAAGACGAGGATGACAACGACGAGGAGGTGGATTTCTTGGGGTCCGGAGGATGGCATAGTTGAGGTTACTGCTGAGACCATAGTGGGTGTTGGTGGTGGGAGATGGGGGTTGTCTTGGCTAGATTGCGGTGGCTTGTTTACAAGAGTTGGGGGAAAGAGGTGTATTTGTATGCTTCTCCTGTGGGGGCAGATGCTTTGGGTTCGGAGCATCTGCCTATGTTTTGAGCACCATTCTCAAGTCGCACAAGGAATGTTTTTGATTTGGAAGAGTGCAGAACATATTGCTGAGAGGCGGCTTTTAGGTACCCCCTTTAGTAGCATGATACAAAGGCCTCACATTCACAGGCTACCATTGATCTCTCCCCTTCTGTGGAATGGAACAGATACGAAATTCGCTGACTTCTCTCCCTACACCACTCAGACAGCTTTGACGCCTTTGACCCATCAGCACGACCACGCCCCTAACAACCCTTCCAGCACTTCCCAGGTGAAGCTCAAGCAACTTCAAAGACCAGTGGACCATCAACTTCACCATCCCCTCTACCCGTAGGCTACCAGTTTTGGGTCCATCATCTACTTCGTCTCATCTAGGGTATCATAGGCGTCACATTCCTCCTTCCTTCACAATACGTCAACCTTGCCTCAACCCAAAATAGCCAGGAACCTTTCAGCCGCCACTAGCACGACTGTGTCCAAGGATAACGTCTCTACGATGTTAATCACGAGTGGCCAGCCGCTTCTGCATCACCCATACCCGCCCCTCCAGCCCTAGTGTATGATGGAGACGATGATAAGAAACCTTTGACTAGCGATTGAAGGGGCAAGAGACAGTACTTCATCACCGAGAGTAACAAGCACTAGCTTTACAGCGAAGACTACATAGGTCTTGTGGCGCAAGATACAACAAATGAGGGCCAGACATAAAGCTCAAGGGGGTTGCAAAAGAAAATAAGGGTAGATCCAAAAATAAAGGGGTAAGTAAACAATTACGTAATCAGCCCCTGAAGAACACGGCACATATCATTATCGATTAACATTGGGACATTAGGAGTCAAGTCGATATCACCCCCTCTGCTAAAGAGTAACTATGCCTCTACGACCTTTAGAGTATATGTTGGATTGCTCCTTAGCCAGTGGATTGGAACCATCTGAACCTGCTGAGGAGTCTAGCAGCTTCTTATCAAAGTACAAAGCACGCTCGACCCTCTCCCACAGGGTGCAAAGAGCCACTACACTACCTAAGTTGCTTTTGTGACAGCACCAGTGTCCGGAGCAGTACCCGCGGACCAAAGGGTCATACACGAATGGAGCTATCCCACATATGCCAGCAAACCTCTGAAGGCAAGGTTCCCCAGTGATAGCTGCAGAGTGCCCTCTCAACGCACCAGGGCAACTTTCGTGAATCATATGCTAGTAGGTACATGCTTGTCAGCGTTTGCTGCCTGGTTAGTGACGAATTTACACTTGTAGACTGACGTTGGTGTTCCATAAAGGCTCCATGGACGTCACTGGCTTTCCAACCCGTAGGACAACTTTCAAAGTGACACTGAGACATATTGAAACCTAGCGTCTACCGACGTGGGAGGTTCAATCAACGGGTTCAGCTTTAGATCCGGAAATAACCAATCGATAACCCTTGAATTCTGGAAGGACTTGAACAAACAAGAGGCGTTAGGCGAGAAGGAGGGTAAGATGAGCATCTTGCAGGTCATGAGTCTGGTGGATCAAGACCACAGACCGAGTTCGCACGATATCGAACAAGCATATTGCAAGAAGGTGCTAGCATTCTCCGAGAGAGAGTTGACCAGGAGTAGAGGAGCAACCAAAGGAGCAACCAAAGGAGCATTTCGGTCTCGCAACGATACCATAGGGTCACCGGTGCACCAAAGACCACGTCATCAGCTGTGGGTAGGTCCCACCGTAAATGGGAGTGATACTCAGATTCGGCATCGATCGAAAGCCTGTGACGAGAGATATTGGCATTCAGTTTCCCACCCCCTTGATTCACTCAGTGATCATTGAGAACATTCCAATCCCAGAGGATATGATAGACCACAGACCCTTGTAGGTAAATAGAGATGTCGAGGAAAGGAAGTCAATATAAATAATGTTGTGGATGGTTTCAAGCTCTTAGTTTGTCGTGTTTAGAACTTGACCGAGATTACTGTTAGTTGAAGGATCTGCGTCTTTAGACGGCTTATTCGTTAAAGCTGAACTTGCGTTCAGGACGAAGTATTTCGGCAGGAAGACTTGGAGGGCAATGGCAGCCTGTGAGAGCTGGTTATCGAGTCCTCGCAGCCTCAGCAAGGCCATTTGTCTTTGGATACCGTACACATAGCATGGTATCCACTGTGTGGACGGCCACGAGGCAGTCCCCAACACAAATGTTGTAAGGTGTGAGCCTGGTCAATTAGCCTTCGCGGGTTGAAAGGTGTGTTTGAGAGTATTCACAAAGCTCGTTGAATGAGAAAGTGTCCATTTAGAGCAGCTGCTCGACGAGTAACTGAAGTGCAGTACGTCGGTCGAGATGTCTGTTTGTGAAACCGCTTGGAGGCTTGGTCCTCGAATAGCAGCTTGTCTCGGAAGAAGCAGCGTTATATCGAGATACTTGCGGATCCAAGATGGCCGAAGTAAACAAGGTGGCGTGATCCTGTCGCTCAGGGAGCGCTTTCTGCTTTGTAGAGAGAGCTGATACGAAGACGGAATGAATACATTGCTAAGGAGGATGGTAAAATGTCGGGAATATGTCATATCCTGCAAGGTGACGCTGATGGGTAGAGTAACCGTTATGCCAAAGCTTCGGGAAAATGAGGCTGACAGGGCAGTATGATGACAGCGCCGTGGATGATAAAGAATCTAGGACAAGGGTCCACCAGCTGGTAGCCACTCCCCCAATGCCAGCGATTGAGAATGTCGAGCACAGAGTAAAACATGGTGGTGGGTTTGTGCAGCATTATGAAGGAAGGCACTGAGCAGGCCCATGAAAGCTTGGCACGCACAAGAAAGGAAGGTTGAATCATTATTTTGGTAGACGGTGCATGTGGCAAGCAGGCCTGTCGGCGAAGGCCATCCGGACAAAGCATTCGAAGGACGATATGTCTCGGGAGGATCTGAGACAATAAACACCCTCATAATCGAGGCACGGCATTGCTAAACTGGTTCGACATGGCCATGACAGTACCTCGGTGCTCATTGCCGCGTTCAGGGCTGTCCTGTTTGTGCACCGGTGCCGGGGGAGGAGCAATGGCTAAGGTCATGAATGTGAAGGCAGGCTTCTGCTTGTTGACTAAAGATGAGGAAGTCTGTAAGTGGAGAGGGCCGTCGGTCATAGACGGAGACCAAGCTCGTTGATGTTTGGCACTGCCATACTGTATGTTATTGCTGCTCGTTATCGGTGTTGGGCGACCGAACCATAAGCCAAGTCTCTTTCAGACACATCCCTTTGTGGAAGCAAAGCGACGATGGTAAGGACGCAGGATTGGCCTTGCTAATGCGTATGCGCAAGCGCTGGGTCGAGCGACAAAGGGAAGCTCTCGGTGACAACCGATTCTGACCCAGGAAAGGGTTGAATGGCTGATAGTGGACGAGATAACCTCTCTATCCAGGCTGATCCAGACGAGGTAACATGTCAGATATCCAAGCTTATCCAGGAAGCATGTCGTCATAGAAGCGTGTCCATCGAGGCATATTGTCTGTGGAAAAGCAAGGATTAGCACACAAGACAGCCAAGGGACGGGGAGATCAATCGATGATATCAATGTCTGATCAGCTTAAGAGGCTGCAGAGTAGCATCGGTCGACTGAATCAAGGCCACATCAGGGAA